TGCTGCAGGCTCTTAGACTGCAGGCATCACACATGCGTGAGCGCCCCCCATCCCACTCCGCAGTTCTATCTCTACTGCCTCCAGCTACAGACGGCCTCAGCTGTGCTCTGTAGCTGCTTCATGTCTACATGATTATCTCCATTTAAAAAACAAGATTTTTCTCTCCAGTTATTGATATTGTAGTTAGTTACTTAGTTTAAAAAAAAACCTAGATTAGTATAAGTGGATTTTTTTCCTCCCAGTTAACCCTTTTTTGCAGTTACTGACTGCTTTCACAGTTATGCCTGGCTCCCTGGGATTTAAACATTGCTCGTCATGTAAAGAGCCTATCCTCATATTGGACGGCCATTCACAATGCGTCCGCTGCCTGGGAGAGAAAAATATATCCCAAAAATGTCTTCATTGTGCAGAGCTGAAATCGCGGGCACGGAAAGACAGAGACCTCTGCCTCAAGCTATTTTTACTTGAAAATTGTCTCAGACCAGCTTCAAACCCGGGCCAACAGCCCAAGGAACACAAACAGCAGGGAACCAAAAAGCAAGCCTCTTTATTACCTCAGGGGGGCTATGGCACCAAAACGGCCGTCTCCCTCACGGCTGGTAACAAGAGCAGCAGCAACAGCACTGCACCTCAGCGCAAACGACACTTCGGTCGTCTCTGGAGCTGCTGGCGCATATAACGAACAGGCATATGCTAAATCACTCTCTGAGGCATCAGGCTTCAAGTTGCCTGTCTTGTTAGCTGCAGCACCATCCGGCACTGATACAATCCTGCCAGTGCAGCATAAGTGCGCGGCGCCAACCATATCAACAGGAGCCTTTGTCTCCACTACAGAGAAGCCTAATGCGGTGCTAGTTTCCTCAGCACCAAGGCATGATTCAGTGCTTCACGTAGCATCTGTGTCTCCTACAATGGCACCGACAGCACCAGCTGGGCACTACACTCAACACAAAGCCTTGTTCAGCTCATTTACTTTTAACTCACCATTTTTAGACCCTGGTCGCTCTCCTGTTATGTTAACATCACAGAGATCACTTTCTCAGGAAAGGTTTTAATCTGAATCTTAAGATGAATTCTCTAGGGGTTTTCCTCCAGAAAATTCTAATTACACAGATCAGACTATTTACTCTTCCAGATTTGAGAGTATGCCTTTATATACGATAAGGGGAGCGATAGCTCAGTAGTTTGAGCATTGGTCTGCTAAACCCAGGGTTGTGAGTTCAATCCTTGCAGAGGCCATTTAGGGATTTGGGGCAAAAATTTGCAGGGATGGTTCTTGGTCCTGCTGTGAAGGCAGGGGACTGGACTCAATGACCTTTCAAGGTCCCTTCCAGTTCTAGGAGATAAATTTATAAATTATTGGAGATTGTTTATTATGGCAATCCCTGGGTACCTCCACCTGCATCATACCCCCACTGGCAATATTGGGACAAATGGCAATACTATCAAAAACACCAGCATGGCTGGAAACGATACAGAGTGCAATATTCCTCTTCTAAACAAATACACAAAGGGGACCCACCCACAGAAGATGGGCAAAGCCTCTCTGGACCAAAATACCACCCCTCCCCCAGTGGAGGAAGGGTCTGTGCCCCCAGTTCCAACTACCTCAGATGATGATGTACGTTTCCAAGATCTTTTTAAACATGTAGCTACTGAATAAAACATTCCTTTTCAGGTGGTTATGGAAAACCAAAATGAGTTAACTGACATTGCACTCAGTACCACCATCAAAAATAGCACTACCAATTAATTCTGCAATAATGGAACTGGCAAAGATGGTGAGGCAAACTCTGGCATCAATCTCTTCTACCGCAAAGAGAACAGATAAGAAGTATTATGTCCTTCCCAAGGGATCTGAATTTCTTTTTACTAACGCAGTACCTAATTCCCTCGTGGTGGAAGCTGCACAACAAAAATCCAAGCAACAACAATGTCGATCCACGCCATTAGACTGCGATAGCAAAAGACTTGACTAATCTGGACGCAAAATATACACGTCTTCCACTTTACAATTTCGCATTTCTAACTATGTGCTTTTAATTAAGCAAATACGACTATAGAAATTACACCAAACTTAATGACTTTACCACAGTTATTCCCAAGATTAAAAGACACCAGTACAAAACACTGGTATCGGAGAGTCACACGATACCTAGAACAGCATTGCAAGCTGCAGTAGATGCTGCTGACATGGCTGCATGATCCACAGCAACAGCAGTAGTAATGAAGGGAGTCATAGTTTAACTCCACTCCATTTCCCAGAGAGATTCAATCTACAGTGGAAGATCTTTCTTTTGATGGTCAAAACTTGTTTGCAGCTAACACCAACGAAATTCTCCACTTCATGAAAAATTCCAGAGTAACGCTTTGGTCCTTGGGGTCCACAACCAGGCATCTAGAAGAAGGCAATATAGGTATTAGCGCTACCCGAGACCTGATACCCTTCATATACACAACATTACAACAGACAAGACCAATACCAACAGAGCAGAGGCAGAACCCAATGACGATGCCCTTCCTCTATCAACTCCCAACAGTCTGATAAGCAAATTTGAATATCAGGTCGAGGGTCTTGAGAACCTTTCACCTGTTCCAACACCATCGTTGCAAGCAAACCTGTTTCATCATTGACTAGTACCTTTCTTTAACAACTGGCAACGTATAACCTCTGATATATATGTATATCCTCCAGATAATTGAAAAAGGCTATCTTATTCCCTTCCTGTCTCTCTCCCCTTCCTGGTCCCTCTTCAGGGACCATTCTCACTCTCACATAAATGTGATTGAACCAGTCCCCACACAATTTAGGGGTAAGGAGTTCTACTCCCATTACTTCTTGACAGAAAAAAGATCGGGAGGTTGGAGACCCATCTGAGACCTTCAGGTCCTCAATAAATTTGTTCAGAAACAAAAATTCAAGATGGTAATTCTTGCCACTATATTACTGGCATTGAAACAAGACGATTGGGTCTCGTTCCTCGACTTGCAGAATGCATACTTTCATATTGCCATCCGCCCTGCTCACAGTCGTTTTCTTCGTTTCATTGTAGATTCTCAACATTGCCATTCGGACAATCTATGGCCCCGAGGGTCTTTTAAAAAGTTCTAGCGGTGGTCACAGAATATCTGAGAAAACATAGAGTTATCATATTTCCTTACCTGGATGACTGCCTTCTCAAGGCACACTCACACAACAATTCCTGCCGTTCTGTCAATCACAAGACACCTATTCCGACACCTCAACCTTCAAGTGAACGAAGCCAAATCGATGCTGTCTCTTACACAAAAGATGCAATTTATAGGAGCATGCCTCAACTCAACAAGGGCCACCGCATCCCTCCCTATAAACCATTTCCAAAAAATTGTGGCCTCAGTAAACATCTTACGATCCAGCCCCTGCACAGCAGCACTCAAATGCCTTAAGTTGTTGGGGCACGTGGCAGCGTGCACATTGTCGAAGCAAAAACACGCTCCTCTGTGTTTAGGCAGCTAACAAGCAGCTTTATTAATTAATAAAGCACAGCATGAGCCAAACGTGGTCACAGCAGAGCCAGACCCAGTAAAGCTACTAATACAATCAATCCTAGTATCTTTATACCCTTAACCAAACAGTCTGACGTCAGGGCATCCAATTACAGAAATCCTCAATTAAATTTGGAAAAACAAAGCCTTATCAACAAGATGGCGGACAGGTGCGAGGGAGTACATCTCCTGTCCCAACCAGCCCAATTAACACATACCAATAGCCCATCCTGTAGGCCTCTTCTCACGGGGTGACAGAAAGTTCACTCTGGTCTACGTGCTTGAGAGAAAAGCTGAAATGGTTTCTGATATACAAGATGGCTTCTAGCTAAATATGAAAATGGTTTCTACAGCTTCTACAACATTCATCATCAACAATGCTCACCTTCACATGAGATGCTTACAGGGCTGTCTGGGACAGGTTTACAGACCCAATGTCCACCCAATATTCAAATCCCTAGCCCTCCCAATGATAGTAAAGGAATCCTTACGCTTGTGGCTAAGTCCACAGAATCTTTGTTCCGGAGTCCCTTTCTACCCATCAGAACCATCTTGTCTTTATGACGACAGATGTGTCTCGTACAGGATGGAGTGGCAACCTATGACATCATACTTGCCAGGGTCTGTGATTCAGCAGTGACAAGTACTTACATATAAACATCCTGAAACTCGGTGCAGTCAGGAATGCATGTGTCCGATTTCTTCCATTCATCACCAACAGTCATGTCAGACTGTACATAGACAACATCACAGCAATGTTTTATATAAAGCATCAGGGCGGAGCCCAATCTCAAGTGCTTTGCACAGAGGCCATAGCACTTTGGAACTGGTACCTGAAATACAACATAAATATTACCACAGTGCACCTTCCGGGCACCCTGAACACAACGGCAGACGCACTGAGCAAAGCCCATCCAGCCGAACACGAGTGGCAAATCAATCCACACATATTGGCGGGCATCTTCTGACAGTGGGGTCA